TAGTATATGGTAATCTTCACTGTTGTATTCTTCTTCTGATATTACTTCGTATGATGAGTATGATGAGTCAGAGAATTGATCATTGTTGGTGTTTAGTGTGGTATGTGGATCATAGGGATTTAGAGATATTGAAGATGATGCTACATAAGAATAGTCTTCTATGTCAGTCACCGTATACCTAACTTGCATGGTTTCGCAAGGGTTAGCAACAATCAGGTTGGACGTTAGAAAGTTGTTTAATTCTATCCCTTCTGGGTATATATATTTTTATATATATATATATATATATTATCGTTATTTTGGGCAGTCGTGCCACTAGCTGATTTTTACATTATCTACGTTTCGCATATATATCCCATCTTTTTTCTATATTTGTAACATTTATACTTGCATATCGTTATTACCATAATTGGCAAAATCTGTACAATGTGTCCAAGGTCTGACAAACTGGTCTGATATTGGCACTCGATAATCAACATCGATTTGATTCAGTCTAGATGAATTGACATTCCACAACCCCTTTCGGCAAAGGGAAATTCCAAAATTGTTGTCATCTGATTTCAATAGAACTAATCAATTTTGTTAGACATAAGGCTTTTATGCTAATAATGCCTTATCGAGAGAGCTTACACAATTCAGTGTGAGTCTAGACAGCTGAATTGTCTGACTCATGCGTTATTTATTTAAGTTTATCAAAAAGAATGAACGTGAAGCATTTAAATATTGTTGTTTTCGGCAATATGGAGAGAGTTAATTGGTGTTGGAATAGATGGAGACAGAGGGGATTTAACCATCAATAGGATAGTTTAATAATTTATATACTCAAGATTATGTATTTAAGGACTGGCTTTTTGTCTTCAATAAAGATTTCTCAGACTTTGTTCTCAATAAAATCTCCACTTGTCTTTTATAAATTGAAACCTAACAGCTAATTGAAGCCTAATAAATTATAAATCGCATTGTCATCATTCTTCTTGTTAGTATTAAATTAACTTAATGTGTGTTTATTATTTGTATTAGTTTTTTTGACTTTATTATTTATCATGAATACATTTTCATGGTATTATCTGACGTGAATACATCTTCATGTTCACGCACCTTATTGTTAAAATACATTAATACCCCATCACGCCTTAAATCAATCCTCATTTTGGATTGTTAACAATACACCATCTACTAGTTTAACCTCCTGCATATCCTATTTTTACTACGTGCATCTCTTAAATTATATCACGCAGGACCCCATCCTTTTCTAAATAAACATCTGCCCGATTTGTATCTGCAACGATACTCACTAACCCAGTACCCCAACATTGGTTTTCCCACATCCTAATTGAACGCTACTTAGCCTATTATATAACACTTTGGGTCACTATCCTGAATCAAACCGGCATCCAATCAACTGACACTCTCCCAACCCGATAGTCACAGTTGGTGCTGAATGTGTGGAACCATACGCCTGTCAGTTTTCAGAACGTATGAACAATTTTGACCAACACTTAAGAAATATTACTGAACACGACCGCCATCACTATCTCTTTGGAAAGACACTTCAGGCAATTGATTATTTGTCCAAATATTACAGAGACGATTCCTGCACTACTTGTTACCTGCCTCAAGAACCTACACCTTGCTTTATTACTTTTTGGATGTGGTTCAGCACCTTTCAACCAGCCAACTTTTACTCACAACATGCTTTAAGACGTTTTGAGAAGCTTAGTAATTTCAAAATCTATCAAATCCCTGATCAGCTATTATGCTGTTTCATCTTCAGTTTTAGATATAAAGAACATCCTAACGATTTTTCAACTCTAGTAAACGAGTTTTTAACAGCATACCAAGAGACCAACCAGTTTGCTGAAGACCCTTTAGCCGACGTATATAATAGTGAAACCTTTGAAGAAAATCCACAAAATGGCGATATGGCCCAAGACAATAATCAAAACCAAGTTCTGCTTCTCATTGACCTGGACGATGATAATCAAATTAATCAACCTAACCAACCCATCCAGCCCATCCCAATACTTCAGCACAACCACTTCGGCAATCAAAACCAAGACAATGCCCAAAATGACACAGTGACTTTTCTTGCACAGCAGATTGGGGCTTTAGTCATGCAAATGCAGCATGTCCCGGTACCTCAAATCAATATCCCGGCTATCAATATGGCACCCAGAACCAAGATCTTAATTTAGTGTCCTACCCGATTTTGTCGGTGGTGTATAAGTTGGTTAGAGGATGTAGAGAAAGCTTTCGAGGCTAACCAGGTGCAGGATCAATGAAAAATTCCTGTAATCATTTCTTACTTGAAAGGCACGGCACCACGTAGTGGGTTAATGCTTGAAACATCTGCCCCATTGATCGATGGAATGACCAAGATAACCAATTTCAAAGTTTCTGTCCACAATTTATTACTCAGTTTCGAACCCAAGCTCTTGAGAGCAAATAGTTTGCACAGCTAATGCAACGGAAGCAAGGCCCTGTTGAGGACGCTGACTCCTACCATATATCAATCAAAGAGTTGCTTCGACAGTGGTCATCGTTATCCCGATACGCTAAAGCTCAGATGTTTATTAATGGTCTACGACCAGAGCTTGCAACTTCCATTGCCCCTTTATGCCCAACTCTTTAGCTGCCGCCTACGAAAGAGCCAAAACTTTTGAAAACTCTTTTAAATAAAATCCTCTTAGTTATAATCCCTACCTATCTTATATACATCTGGCTCATATTGGAATTGCGCCCACCCAAGCCCCAACAAGTTTGTCTCCTGTGGGTTATCCAACAATAGTGGTGGCTTTGCCCTAGTCCCAAAACCAGAAGATCTCCTTGCTAAATTCACTGAAGCCCTTACAACAATGATGACAAGGCTACAGAAGAACTATGAGCCCCCACGCCGTGGCCCCAACAATTGGAACAATGCCAATAGATTTATCTGTAATCGTTGTGGGCAAGCAGAACATTATGCAAGAAATTGTCCTAACCCACCTCCACAGAATCTTAGGAATAATGTGGCTACCGGAGCCAATGCTATCCCAGTAGGACAAAATAATGGTGCCCCTAATAACCCCCAGCAAATAATAATAATAATAACAATAATAACGCTCAACCGCCCCAAAACAGGGGCAACAAAGCCCATGCATTTTTAAACCTCCACAAAGAGGTTATGGACCCATTGTTCTTCTCCACAGAAGAAACAGAAAAACTATCCCAGCATACTTGCAGTAAAAAGTGGCGAGTTGATGAATCAGCCCCTGAACCCCCAAAAGTTGGTCAGGAAGCTTCAGTCCCTGTAACAACAATCCCACAGCCACCTAGGAACACTAAAGACCCAAAGCTGGCTCCTATCAGAAGGAAGAAGGTTGAAATGACCTGCCGCAAATTTCGGCTTTAGTTCCTCTGTATTCGATAGTGGCTGATATTAGAGACAAGCAGCCAATATCATAGTGGGTAATTATTGAGAGCTGTTCCATCCATGTGAACTGAGCTTTCTAAAAGTCTACAAAAGAAGAAGGCTCAGGTAAAGAAAAAGAAAGCTCGGGCTTATGCCAACCTCAATCCTACTCCGAAATTAACGGTCATGTATTGTGACGCCACCATCCACGATAGAGTCATATCTCTTATTGTCGACAGTGGTTCCTCTGGGAGTGTAGTAACCTCCAACTTACTTAGTGATTTGGGAATCAAAGTAGAACATCCTTCAACCGTGAATATGGTAAATGTGCATGGTCAAAGTAAAAGAGCTATAGGGGAAATTTCTGACTTCCCATTTACTGTTGGAGGAGCTTTGGTTCCGGTTGACGTGGTTGTAACTGATGCTACATCTTATAGAACTATTATCGAAAATGATTGGCTCTTCAAGGTTAATGCCAGAATCAACTACACCACTTCGGAAATGACCTTCTTATGAGAGAATAAAGAAATCACAGTTCCGGTCAAGTTCCGAAAGCTCCAACATACCCCCATCCAGAATGACCGCCCTCCAAAAGTTTCTCAGCCTGCAGCTGAAGATATTGAAAAAGCTGGCAGTTCCACTTTTGAAGAAGAAACAGAAAGTGAATATGAGGATGAAGAGTTAGAAGATAGAATTTTCGGGTACTCCAAAGAAGAAGAAGAATACAAAACCAACCTTACCCATTATGAAAACGAGGTATTATTGGGCTGCTTCAGCTCTGATAAAAAATTAGCTACCTCTCAGTATAGAGAACAACTCGATGACCCAGGTATTCATGTTTATGAACTGGAAGAAGATAAAGACCTTTTCAAAGCTGATTTTGGCTTTTTTGGCTCAGATAGTGTTGATGATAGAATAACCGGCGAGTTTTATTTTGATGAAGGAGAACCCCACTACGAACTCGATATTGGAAGTCTTGAAGATAGTGAGCATAGCAAGCTTGAAAAGCTGTGACAGTCCACAGTGATCTCTTTGCTTGGACTTTGCAAGACTTGGGACGAACCAACCTCGTTACTCATGCCATTCAAACTGATAATGCCCTGCCTATTAGACAACGATACTACTGAACCTCCCCTATAGAAAAAGAATTTCTTTGAGAAGAAATTAGCAGAATGTTGAATGATGAGATCATTCAACCCTCCCAGAGTCCGTGGGCCTCTCCTATAGTTCTTGTGAAACAAAAGGACAAAACTTGGTTTTGTCTTGACTATCGACGCTTTAACGCAGTAACAAAGAAGGATAGTTATCCTTTGCCCCACATCGATGCCTTCTGGATACACTTCGCTTTTCATCTTGGTATACCTCCTTAGATCTGGCTAGTGGGTATTGGCAGATCGAGATGGATCCAAAAGATAAAGAAAAAACTACCTTTATATCCCAATTTGGGACCTTCGAATTTAATGTGATGCCTTTCGGCCTCACCAACGCTCCATCCACGTTTCAATGGCTTATAGACCAAATTTTTAGCGACATCATTGGTTGATTTGTTGTCATCTATCTGGACGATCTGAATATTTTTTCCTCCTCCTTTGACAAACATATGATCCACCTTGCCGAAGTTTTGGATTGACTCCGAAAAGCCGGGCTAAAGATGAATCCAAAAAAATGTCATATCGCCAAAAAGGAACATAAGTTTCTTGGTTACATGGTCAACATTGAAGGGATCTTTATGGATCCTTGTAAAGTAGAAGCTGTTAGAAATTTTCCTACACCTACCAACCTTCGTCAATTACGTAGATTTCTAGGTCTAGCCTCCTATTATCGCCGATTTATCCGAGATTTCTCTAAGCTTGCCACTCCTCTCCACCTTCTGTTAAAGAAAAACACTAAGTATTTCTGAACCACCGCTTAGGAAACTGCCTTCATAGACCTTAAAGAAAAACTAATTACCGCCCCCATTTTTGCTTATCCCAATTTTGATAAGCCATTTCTACTTTTTACCGATGCTTCAGGTACAGCACTTGGGGCTATACTCTCCCAGAAGGACTCTTTGAATAGAGAAAGAGTTATACACTATGCTAGCTGAACCTTATTAGCAGCTGAAAAAAATTATATAGTTACGGAACAAGAGTGTCTTGCGGTTGTCTGGGCAATCTCTTATTTTCGTCATTATCTCCATGAGAGCCAATTTACTTTGATAACAGACCACTCAGCTCTCAAATCTTTGTTAAGAAATTTCCTGCCCAAAGGGCGGCTTGCCTGGTGGATTTTGTCTTTGCAAGAGTATGAATTTACAGTCGTTCATCGTCCCGGAAGATAGCATTCAAATGCTGATAATCTTTCACGTCTCGTAGAACCTCAAGGCCAAGAAGTTGATTATCATTGTCCCCACTGTCTCGTTCCCTATACTTTTAAAGACACCACCCTTACTCAATACCCTTCAATTTCTTACAATTTTGACTATTACAACTTATCATAACCTGCTATAACTTAAAACTCTACTTATTATACACTATTTTATTACTATTTGTTGAAGCCTTAGTCACTCCATTAAATATAGATCTGACGCAATATCAAACATATGTCAAGTTTCTTTCTGACCTAACTACCTGCCTACCTTATCACTTCAACAATATAGACTTTTGAAACAACGTACTTGCCACTTTGTGGTTCTCAACAAATTATTGTATAAAAAACATCATTTACTACCTCATAGACTCCTCCGAGTCTTATTAACACGTGAAATTCAACCTGTTCTTTTTAGCATGCATTCAGACCCGTTATCTGGACATTTTAACATTATATCCACCCTTCACAGAATTTCTGTCTGCTATTTTTGGCCCCAAATGGGCAACAATGTTAGAGAATATGTCCAATTGTGTGATGTATGTCAATGCAGGGGCAAACCTAGAACCTATGAACCCTTGTACCCAATTAAACTCGGCAAGCCATTTGATAGAGTAGGAATAGACATCATTGGTCCCCTACCTCCCACCAAAATCGGAAACAAATATATTGTAGTGGCCACAGAATATTTGACCAGGTGGCCAGAAGCACGAGCTATGTCAGACACCTCAGCTCCTTCGGTTGCTTCATTTATAATCGAAGATATAATCTGCCGTCATGGCAGCCCGCGTGAACTACTTTCTGACCAAGGAAAGCATTTCGATAATAACTTGGTTGAGGCAATTTGCACTCAACTTAAGGTGCATCACCGATTTTCGTCTAGCTATCACCCCAAACCAATAGGTTGGTAGAATGTTTCAACCATACCCTCTGCAATGTTCTGGCCAAGTGTACTATACAATTCTCAGGTGATTGGGACCAGTATCTCTCAGCAGCTCTCTTTGCCTACCGCACCACCAAGCACTTTGTTATCTGATATGAACCTTTTTATCTATTATATAGAAGAGATACCATTCTGACTGAAGAAGTTGCTGAAATTACACTGAAAATTCCCCCGGTCAATAAACAAGACCTTCAAGAAAATATTCTTCGGAGAGTTAAAGTTTTGTTAGAAGAATTGCCTCAAGCACAATTTGATGCTAGGGAAAGGACCTTAAAAGCTCAATTAAGACATAAAGAAAGGCACGATAAACGATATCGAATAGAAAGTTACTCCATTGGCAAAAAGGTCTTAAGGTTCCGTTCTTCGCTGGTAGAAACACAAAGGAAAGTTGGAAGAAAAGTGGGAAGGCCCTTTCTATGTTCATAATGTTCTAGAAAAAGGGGCTTACAAGTTGAGAACCCTTGATGACAAAGTGTGAAATGGGAGGTTCATGGCAATCGTCTTAAATGATATTATGATCGACTCTACGGTGATTCAGAACCAGATCGTCCCTCGCAGGGGCTCAGAGATTTAGAGGGTGACCCTGTGACAGTTGTCACCTGATAAAATTTTTTTTATATTTTTTTTTTTATCTTTTTATATATATATATATTATTGTTATTTTGGGCAGTCGTGCCACCAGCTGATTTTTACCTTATCTACGTTTCGCATACATATCCCATCTTTTTTCTATATTTGTAATATTTATACTTGCATATCGATATTACTGTAATTGGCAAAATCTGTACAATGTGTCTGAGGTCTGACAAACCAGTCCGACATTGGCACCCGATAATCAACATCGATTTGATTCAGTCTAGATGAATCGACGTTCCACAACCCCTTTCAGCGAAGGGAAATTCCGAAATTGTCGTCATCTGATTTCAATAAAACTAATCAATCTCGTTGGACATAAGGCTTTTACGCTAATAATGCCTTATCGAGAGAGCTTACACAATTCAGTGTGAGTTTAGACGGCTGAATTGTCTGACTCACGCGTTGTTTATTTACGTTCATCAAAAAAGATGAACGTGAAGCATTTAAATATTGTCATTTTCAGCAATATAGAGAGAGTTAATTGGTGTTGAAATAGATGGAGATGGAGAGGAATTTAACTGTCAATAGGATAGTTTAATAATTTATGTACTCAAGATTATGTATTTAAGGACTGGCTTTTTGCCTGCAATAAAGATTTCTCAGACTTCGTTCTCAATAAAATCCCCACTTGTCTTTTATAAATTGAAACCTGACGGCTGATTGAAGCCTAATAAATTATAAATCGCATTGTCATCATGCTTCTTGTTAGCATTAAATTAACTTAATGCGTGTTTATTATTTGTATTAGTTCTTTTGACTTTATTATCTATCGTGAATACATCTTCACGGTATTATCTGACGTGAATACATTTTCACATTCACGCACCTTATTGTTAAAATACATTAATACCCCATCATGCCTTAAATCAATCCTCATTTGGATTGTTAACAATACACCATCTACTAATTTAACCTCCTGCATATCCTATTTTTACCACGTGCATCCCTTAAATTATATCACGCAGGACTCCATCCTTCTCTAAATAGACACCCGCCCGATTCGTATCTGCAACGATACTCGCTAACCCGGTACCCCAACATTGGTTTCCCACATCCTAATTGGACGCCTCTTAGCCTATTATATAACACTTTGGGTCACTATCCTGAATCAAACCAGAGCCAGTGGATTTTAATAGTAGCAAAAATAGCATTAGCAATATCATGACAACCACATAAACAAATCTGACCAAAATTGTTTTACTTTAATTCCTATGTATTTATAGAATTAAAATAAAACAATTTCGGTCAGATTTGTTTATGTGGTTG